GGAGCCACCAGGGTGCTCTCACGCGCCCGTTCGCGCTCAGATTGCGGGGATGTTTCGGGCGGTTTGCGTGTTTGGGTGCCCAACATCTTTTGCTTTCAGAGCAAGGGGGGGGACGGTTCTCGAGCGAGGCGCTGGTTTCAGCACTCCCGAGGGGGAACCGCCAGGGGATATGTTATTCCCCCGTCGCTGTCAGGGAGGGGATGTATCAGGCGGTTTGCCTGCTTGGTGGCCCAGGCCTTTCTCTTTAGAGAGCCACATGGCTACCGCAATAAAGTAATCGTTCCATGTGAGCACCCCAAGGAGGAGCCGCCAGGGAGGGAGAGACTTGCCAGGGAGGAGGAGGAGAGAGGACGGAGGGGGGAAGAGAAGGAGAAGGAGGAGGAGAAGGAGGAGGCGGAGGAGGAGGAGGAGGAGGAGGAGGAGAAGGCGGAGGAGGAGGAGGATGTGGAGGGGGAGGGGGAGGAGGAGGGAGGAGGAGGAGGAGGAGGAGGAGGAGGAGGAGGAGGAGGAGGAGGAGGAGGAGGAGGAGGAGGAGGAGGAGGAGGAGGAGGAGGAGGAGGGTGGAGGAGGTGAAGGAAGAGGCGAGGGAGGAGGAGGAGGAGGACGCAGGTGAAGGGGGAAGGATGGCCGCCCCGGAGGCGGAGGAGGACGGACGGTTTAGGACGGAAAAGGGCGCAGGAGGAGAAAGAAGGGTTTTTTGTTTCAGCGCCTTCTTTGCTGTGTCCTCACGCTTGCTCCCTCCCGGATCACTTATACTCAAATCACTCACGCTCATTTTCAGATCACTCGGGCTCACATACATTTTAACTGAGTTTGTTCATACTCATGCACATAGACTCACTCACATTGAGGCTCACTCACACTCACTTCGACTCGCTCGCACTCAGACTCACCCGCACTCAGACTCTCATACTCAGCCCACTCATACCCAGACTCGTACCCAGACGCTCGCGGCGGAAAGTGCCAGGAAACGATATGTATATGTGGGGACTTCCGCGTCGAGTAATTCAGATCCCCTGCTGTTGAATTCTCATTTCTTGAGAAAAATGATTGGTGATCCCCCCCTCCAGTATTCATTGCTTTTCAATTGCAGTGCTTCTCCCGGGGCTCGCACCCTATTGTTTACATCGCCTCCGCGACCCGTGCCTGAACCCCCCACCCCACCCCCGGCCGGGTTTCTTGTCTTCTTTCCGCGGAGGGTCAACCTTCGCGGCGACTCGATAAACCCGGGACCCCTGGCGGCGCATGGATGTTTGTTCTTTCTTCCGCGCGCGTGTTGGGCCATTGGAACCCTTGAGCCCCTCCGACTACCGTATAACGAGTATTTGAGTACAATTGATATTATCACGTACCAGCGCGCAGTTGCTCCTAGAGAGCACATTGTCCTGCCGTGCTAGTTTTAGAATGCAGCTGGTATCATATCACAACTAGTAGAACTGTGCACCCCTAGTACAGCTCCCTAGTACTACTTCGTACAAGTCCATGTACAACTCCCTAGTACAAATCTCTGGTACAATTTCCCTGCGCAAGTAGTACTGGTACAACTCTCTGACACTACAACTCGCTAGTACAAGTCCCTAGTACAGCTCCCCAGTACAACTCCTGAGTAATAGTATAATTTCTGGTACAACTCAGTAACTAAATTCTTTAGCAATAGCACGAATCCCCAGTACATCTCTCTAGCACAAGTCCCCAGTACAACTCCCAAGTGCAACTCCCTTAGTGCGACTCCCTGTACAACTCCCTAGTACTAGTCGAACTCCCTCCCAGTATGACTCCCTGGTACAACACCCTAGCACTAGTACAACTCCTGAGTACAATCGCTATTAGAGTGTTGCTGCATTGCACTTACAATCTGGGCTCTCACGCTTTCCTCTTCCGGTTGCGCTGGGAGGGGTGGGACCCTTCGCGCGGGTACACCCCAGCGGCTGAGAGTTCATTCTTCTTCCGGACTTTCAGGGGGGGTAACCCCCGTGCTGGAACCCCTCGCCAGGGATTTCTTCCCCCGCGGAAACCGGTCTCCCTGGGTTCCTGGGCGCGCCCCAGGAGTTTGGAGGGTGAAAGAGGGGGTCTGCAACAGGGGGTCTTCAATGGGGGCTGAATGGCCCATGTATGCTCAATGTATCGCTCATATATGTGATCGGGTACGATTGGCATCCAATGTTGGCGGTCATGGAGGGCCAGTGGTTCGTGCCCGCGCGTTGCCCATGCGGGCAAACGCGCCGCCCATCCATTATCGTTCATGCGTGCGGGCGTTTGCGTATTGCGGGTGGGGCGGCGAAGTGGAATGCAAGTGTGTTTTGATTGAGCGATTGACGATCGCGTGTGTTCCCAAACGATGACTTGTCGACCCCCAATACAGAAATTGGAATGGGCCCAGCGATTCTCTCAACATGTGAATCCACATTTTCTTTTATTCAACACGTGAATTCACATGTTCCTTTTTCCCCAAAGTCTGCATTCACATTCTTGCCCCTTCAGAGAAATTCTTACACAACATTCCAACATGTGAATTCACATTCTCCTTTTTTCTAAAATGTGAATTCACATTTTCTTTTTTACCAAAGTGTGAATTCACATTCTGTTTTTCCCCACAATGTGAATTCAAAGTTTGCCCTGGCCCTCAAGATCCCCAAAACTGAAGCGCAGTGTTCCGCATGTCAGATTGGCTGGGCAGATTTTGACACTCACCTTGCCGCTTTTGTTTAATGCAGGATGACGATTAATAAATGACCGGGGGTCGTGTTCACGCGGCGGCGCCCGGGATGATGATTAGAAAAAACCGGCCGCGGGCTGGAAAACTATGTTTTCAATCGTTCCCCCCCCGCCATCCTCGGGCGCGCGCCCGGGCGGCCGACGGGCCAGACGGAGCCGAAGCGGAGGGTTAGGAGTGAGGGGGTCAAGGAGAAAGGAGCGGGGTCAACAGCAGCAGGATGCAGTTTGTGGCTCAGTTTTGTTAATAGGGTTTTGATTTTTTAAAGTGGAATTATTTTGAACACGACATTTTTTATCGTTCTCCTCCAGTTAGAAAGTTGTGCATAAATAGCAGAAAACTAATGTTTTAATCGTTCTTCCCCATTTTGTTTCTCAATCGTCATCCCGCAGTGTGATTCCTATCTTTGTTTGGCTCCCTCGGCGCACGTTGCCTTCGTCGCCTTTCCCGAGCCCCCCGCCCCCTTGCTTCGTTTACCCTCGAGTCTCGCGCATGGGTGCAGGCGGGGAGCTTCAATTGGTTCACCCGCCGAACGCAGCAATCGAGGATGTATCGCCCATGCATGGCCCATAAAGACACGATTGCCGGGGCCCTGCGCCCGACCCCCATTTTCACCCTCCAAGAAGTTTTTTCTTTTCCGGATGGGCCCCCAGGGGTTCTACGTTGGACTCGCCCGGGTGATTTTTTACAAGGGAAGCGAGGGGTCACCAAATTGTGCCCCTGGCCCCCCAGTGTGCAAAAACAGCAACAACAGCAGCAGCAGCAACAACAACAACAACAACAACGACAGCAACAACGGCTCCCGCAGGATACTTCTTCACAGCTTCATTCCCAAGTGGCGCTCTCGCGCGGGACGTCCTCACAATGTATACGGGAGTCGCGCTCTCGCCTGGGACTTCTCACAGTTTGTTCAGACGCCCGTCTGGTTCTGCCACGTGTTTTCGGCTCCTGGCCTCCCTCCTGCTACTCTCTCTCTCTCTCTCTTTCTCTCCCTCTCTCGTGCTCCATCCTCCTCCCTCCCCCTTGTCTCTTCCTTCCGTCCGTCCCCCCTTCCCCTGCCTTCGGGGCTGCACACAATACACGCTGCAGGCAAGAACGATATGTACCCCAGAGGGGGCACGGTCGAAGCCGAGGAGGGCGGGCATCGAGGTTTTAGGACAGACGTGCGGAATGGCCCGCGAGCAGATGAGAGCGACCAGTCTTAAAATTACTGCAGTTGTTTTGGTTGCTGTTGTTGGATCCATTTCTACAGAAGGATCGTTGTTGATCGCCCCCTGTGCCCGTTGTGTTTTTCAATTAAAGTGTTCCTCTAGGTGTTCGCTACAAGGAAAAGTCTTGAGGCTCAGAATTGGTTGTTGCCCCCCCAAAAAAACTACAACAACAACGGCTCTCGCCTGATACCTCCTCACACGTTATTCCAAAATCACGCTCTCGCGCGGGACTTCCGCACTATTTATACCGGAATGGCGCTCTCGCGTGGGATTTTCTCGCAAATTATTCAGACGCCGCGCCCTCGACAATCAGAAATCACGCTCTTGCGTCGGCCTGTCTCGCGATGTACTTGGGAATCGCGTCATCGTTCGAGACTTCCTTGCGGTTCATGCAGGACTCACGCTTCAGCAGCCCGCCTGCTCGACCTGGCCGCCTGGGTCCGCCTTCCCGACCCGCCCGTTAGGGTCTGCCCGCCCGATCTGCCCGTCTGGTTCTGCCACGTGGTTTCTGCTCCTAGCCCCCCTCCTGCTAATCTCGCTCGTGTTCCATCATTATCTCTCCCCCTTCCATCCGTCCTCGCTTCTCCTGTTTTAGGGGCTGCGCTAAATACACGTGGCAGGTAAGGAAGATATACCCCCAAGGGGGAACGATCGAAGACGAAGAAGGCGGGAACCGAGGGTTCGGGATCTACGTGCTGAGCGGCACGCAAGCGGATCGTAGCAAACATCTTTGACATGGTTGGTGTTGGTATTGTTGTGATTGTTGTCGTTGCTGCTGTTGTTGCTGCTGTTGCTGTTGCTGTTGCTGTTGATCATCCTCCGTGTTCCCTGTTCTCTTCCTCCTCGTTCCCCTTCTCGCCTCCTTCCGAGCCCTGGTCTCCACATCCCTCATAGTTTCCCCCCTCTTTCTCCTACTTCCTTGAAGCGTTAAGTCGTCTGATCTTCCCCCTCGTCCTCTTCCTCCTCTCCTCGCCTTCTTCAGCTCCGCACATTCCTCCGCCCTGCTCGTTCATGCCTCCCCTCTCCTGCTCTTCCCCTTACTCCTCCTCCTCCCCTCCTCCGCTCCTCAGAGTGAGGTGGAAGCAACTACCACCAAGGAGCTGAACCTGAAGGCGGCGGAGAGGGAAGCTGAGGTCACAGACGTGAAGGTGAAGAGCGAGCTGGAGATACACACCGCTTCGCGGTGGACACGCCCCGACAATCCGTCCATCCCGTCCACTCGAGGTGCGCAAGCATCTTGCATGCGTTGGGTGCGGGGCTGGAGGCTGCCAACCACATTTCGCGCTCACTCCTCCGCCTGTTCACCCCCCGTATCCTCCTGCCCCTGCCTATCATCCTTGCCATCTTCCTTGTTCCTTACTCCCCCTCCTTCCTCCCTCCTCCTCCTCGCTCATTCTTCCGGCCTCCTCCTCCTCCTCCTTCTTGTTATTAGTTTTACCCTTTTCCTCCATATTCCCTTTTTCTCTTCTCCCTCCTCTCCTTTATTCTTTTCTCTCCTTTCTAAAGCTTTCACGGATCCCCCTGGGGCCTTCCTTGGGGCTTCTTGAGCCCAACTGGGCCATCTTAGGGACTTCTTCGGGCCATACTGGGCCGTCTTGTAGACCTCTGTGGCCGTCTTGAGTGACTTGACCGTCTTGGGGGGCCTCTTGGGACCGTCCTGGGCCATATTGAAGCCCCCTTGGGCTGTTTTGTGACCCTCTTGGGCGGCCGTTGGTCTGTCTTGGGCGCCTTCGGTGGCCCTCTTGGGTCAAAACAAGCGCCCCTTGAAATCATTGTTGCGTCTCTTTCGTTCTTCCGAGGCCCCCTTGGAGCCATTTTGAGCGGAGAAGCTTGCGAATCGAATCTAATCAAACAGCTACAGGTGCATGTTAAACAATTGGGGGTCCTCTCGGGGGCCTGTTGGGGCGTCTGCGGTGTCCTTGCGGTCCTCTTGAGTTCCTTCGAGCCATATTTCAGTCGTCTTGGGATATATTTGAGCGCTTCTGGACCGTCTGGGAGCCATCTTGGTCAGTCTGGTGGCCCTCTTTAGCCGTCTTGAGGCCAGAAGGGAGGAGGAGGAGGAGGAGGAGGAGGAGGAGGAGGAGGAGGAGGAGGAGCAGGAGGAGGAGGAGGAGGAGGAGGAGGAGGAGGGGGAGGGGGATGAGGAGGAGGAGCATGCGCAACGTCGAAAAGGCCAGCAGATACGGCGCGTCCCGCAAGGGTGGCGTGACATCATTTTTACACCTCTGCGCCCTCAGTAAACGGATGATGCATGCTGCCAGTTTCAGTTCGCAAGGCTTCGCCCCCCAGCTGGCCGGTCCTGCCTTCAGCAGGTTCGCGTCGTGCTGGCGCGGCGGCGACCCCAGCGCGGGCGTGGGAGGTTCAGCGCCGCTGGTGGCCCAGAGCCTGCCGACATCGAGCCAGGAGAATCCTCCTCCTCCTCCCCCTCCCCCTCCTCCTCCTCCTGCTCCTCCTCCTCCTCCCTCCTGCTCCTCCTCCTCCTCCTCGTCCTCCTCCTATCCCCCCTTCTTGACAGGGCTACGCGGCTTCTACGCTGACGGCGCCTGCAGAATCTCTACGCTGACGGCGAATGTTGGAATGGTTTCGCAATGGATCCTGGTATCCGCCAGGGGTGCCCGCTCTCGCCGCTGGTGCTCCAGGGCCGCCTCGGATCAGAGTGCATCATCCGCGCTTTCGCTGACGACGTGGGCCTTGGGCTCGGTGATGTCCCAACGCAGCTTCCGGCACTGGCTTCGGCGCTGGAGGGGTTCGGGAAGCGGTCTGGCATGCAGGTCAATCTGGGCAAAATCATTGGAACTATTCTCTGGGAAGCGTCCCTGGACGAGGCTCGCGCCGAGGTTACAGCTGCTGTCCTGCGCGGACCCACCTTCCTCTTTGCATTGTGGAGGACGATCAATGGAGAGGAAGCATGTTGCCAAATAATTTCCAGATGTCTAAAACATGTGTTAAGCATGTAAAAAACATATTTAGTAGAGCATGCTTCGAATTTTTCCGACATCTTCACACACATGTAACATTCAATGATAGGACTGTTGGGGTGCCCATTGCCGTGGCATCCACGATCTTTGCCGCGCGGCCACCTACCCGGGCTGCTTCATCGGCCCCGGTAAGGTCGGCAGAGCGTGGGGCAGAGCAGGCGCGGAGAGCTCCAGGAGCGCACGGCGGGGTGGCCCCTCGGGGTCCCTCGGCTCGCACTTCGCAGCTGTCGTCCACCACGTGTGCGCGATGCCCGCCTTGAGCTTCACTGCGCAGGTGGCCGACGTTGGTCACCACCCACCAAACCACCCCAACCCAACCCGAAGGCCTCGATTTGCCCTCCATTTCCAGTGGGGGGGGTCGGGGAACATCGAAAAACCACGTATGGAGCCCGTACTCTCCCCAACCCGAAATTCGGATCTTCGGGTTGGCTTGGGGTGGTCTGTTAAGTAGTCAGTTGGCGGCAAGGTCAGCGAGCTCGAAGCTTGGGCGGTGAGACGAGCGGCGCCAGGACCGGGCGGCTGGGATCTCCCAGAGGATCTGCGGCACCTCGACGTGCACTACGACATGCCACAGCCCTTCGGACAGCTTGGCGTGCTGGCGCCGGCCGACAAGCCCCACGTCGCGTCCTACGAGAGCGGGCACATGGGCTCCGCTTGGTTGGATGGGTTGGTCAACACCATCAGGGCTACGTGGAGTTAGTTAGAATGCCTGCAGCGAGCGACGGTTTGGGCGAGCTGGTTGGAAGCCTCCATCCCGCGGGTCTTGCTGCGCAATGCCAGAGAGCTCGGAGGTCTTGGGCTGAGCGATGAGCGCGTCGTTGCTTTTGTGATTGAGCATCCGCGCGAGTCGTTGCCTGCTGAGGCGTGGAACGACGCCAAACACAGCTTCCAGCGGGAGGCCCGGCGCCAGCTACGGCAGCTTCAGCAAGCATCTGCGCACATGAGGGTGAGGTCAGAACCCCAACGTTGGGGGCTTCCCAGAACGCCGCGATTGACGGCAGACCAGCTCTTGCAGAGGACCCAGGCCTTGGGCGCACTGGTGCAGCCAAGGGTCGTCGCCGCAGTTTTCCGCACGGGCTGGAACGGCTGGTGCACAGCGTGACGGTTCCAGAAGTGGAACTGCCACTGGGATATCTGCTCGTTCGGACGTGGAGGGGGGGCGCAAGATAGCCTCGAACTTTACTGCCGGTGTTGAGTGGTGTGGCAGTTCCGCGCGACCTCTCTGGGAATTGGCAGCGACTGGCTGGTGTCCCTGGCTCGGGGTGGACGATGCCCAGTACATCCAGGATGCGCCGTCTGGGGGCACCATGGCCTCCGTGTGGCGGCTACCTGGTCCACGGCCTCGTCTTCTACCGCCCGGGGCGCGATCTGGGTGACTGCGCTGAGCGACGTTGACGTCTGAGCCGACGCCGTGGCCGTCGGCCGCTCCTCGCCCACTTTAGGCGGCCTGGTCTGTCCGCGACTGTGGAGGCCCAGAGCGCTTGACGAAAGCGTGCAGTCGCTCTCCTCCCCCCCTCCCTCCGCCCCGCATTTCTCTCCCCCGAGTCGAGGCGCCGTTCTGGCGCTCCGTGCGTGCACGTGTGTCAGGAGGGAAAGAAACACACAGACACAATTAATCGTCGATTCCTTAGAAAATGTAGGAAAATATGGGAAGTGGGGGGGAAGACAAAAACCCAGAAAATATTGGAAAATATGGGGAATCTGGTTATTTGTGTCTATTTATTTGTGTGTCCCAGTTCCCCTTCAGTGTGCTCGTGGCAGTGGAGGCCCGCAGCGCCCGACCATACACAGCGCGCAATCGCCCAGCCGCCCGCCTGCCCTCGGGGTGCCGTCGTCGCTCCCTCCTGCTCGTCTCATCGAGCGGTCGCCCGGGCTTCGCCCTCCGCCCTCTTCGCGGCGGGCGTCCCCCGTCGTTCGCTCGCCTCTCTCCCCTGGCTCCGGGCGCGTCCTGGTCCCTGGCGTCGTTCCTTTCTGTGCCCCTCGCTGCTGCTGCTGCTGCTGCTGCTGCTGCTGCTGCTGCTGCTGCTGCTGCTGCTGCTGCTGCTGCTCTTCTGGGTCGTCCACCGTGCGGGCTTTTTGCCGGGCAGGGATGTGCATGGACAGAGTCGTGTGTACCGATTCTGGCGTGGGCCGCTCTGGCTGCACTGCGTGCAGAGTTTCTGGCGGACCTGTGATGCCAGCGAGCACTCGCAGCGAACCACCAGCAGGCCAGGTCGCCCTGTCCCACAGTCCTCCTCCTCCCCTTTCCCTTCCTTAGCTTGCGATGCATGGCTCCAGTTCTGCATGTTCTGTCTTTTTCTTCATGGGCGCGGCCGGGGTTGACCTCCCGATGCGCTTACTCGCCCTGCACGCAGGTCGACAGCTGCAGGGACAGCGTCGCCCGCATTCCGCCGGGGTTCGACACGGTGGAGCTCGCCGGTCGCTGAGCCCTTTCTGGCCTTGCATTTCCTGCTGGTCCTTGGCCGGCATGGTTGCGTGCTTCAGGGTGGTGGGCATGAGGTTGCATTCAATGCAGTTTATTGTCAAGTCGTCGCCGTGAGTGTGTTATTTCAGTTTGCTGTATTGTACGCCGGCCGGTCTTGGCATTGGCTCCTCTGCTTCGGCTGCGAGGCCGTCTGCTAGCTTGTAGTTGTTCGTCCTTCCACCCCCCCTCATCCCCCTCCTCTTCCGCCCTCCCCCGCTCGCGTCGGGCACCTGCGCGAATCCTGCCGTCTTCACCGGTAAGGGGTGCGCACGGGCGAGTTTCGTTCCAGCGGCGTGGTATAGCAGTGTGTCTCAGTTATGCGCAATTTGCCTCTTGCCGCAGAGTGCGCGTTCATGCCAGGACGTCGACGCTGCACTGACAAAAAAACAGCCGACATCGAGCGATCCGATCTACTGGGTAGCCGCGATCGTTCAAGGCTGAACGAGCCGCGCGGTGTCAGAAGCCAGCACCGCCGCCACCACGACGTTGACCTGCCGCGCTCCCGCGCCGCAGTCGCGCAGGGCCCAGGCGGACCGCGCCGCAACCCGCGGTCCGCCCAGCCCGACGCCACATCCGCCGACCCCTCTGCATGGCGGCCGCGGGCACCTGCTTCCGTGCTGCGGGGCCGATCGGGCAGGGTCTTGTCGGAGCTGCTGATGAGTGGGGGGGAGGAGGTCACCACCCACCAAACCACCTCAACTTAACCCGAAGGCCTCAATCTGC